TTACCCTTGCTATTGTTCTAATTGAGAAACTCCCTCCCTCTTGGAAGGAATTTCGTAACCAGTTAATGCACAAAAAGAAAGACCTAACCTTAGAGGAGCTAGTAGGACACCTCAAAATTGAGGAGGAAAACCGTATCAAAGACAAAGGCCATACTGTTTTCCCTTCCTCTTCTTCTGCCAAAGCCAATCTTGTTGAACCCAAACCAAACAACCGGTCCAAAGCCAAAAATAGTTTTCTTAAGCCAAAGGGGAAGGTTGAGAAGTACAAGTTTAAGGGTACCTATGTTGAGTGTGGGCTAACTGGTCACAAGGCTAAGGATTGCAGGGTCAAGAAGAAGAACAATGGACAGAGACAAGTGAATCTTATTGAGGATTCTAACGTTATTGTTGCTGTTGTTTTAGAAGCTAACCTTACAGGTAATGCTGCTGAGTGGATTGTTGACACTGGAGCAACCAGACACATCTCCGTCAGGAAGGACATGTTCACCACCTATGACAAGGTTGAAGGTGAAAATGTCTTCATGGGCAACTCAGCCTCTGCCTCTATCCAAGGCAAAGGGAAAATCGTTCTCACTCTTACTTCTGGAAAATTGCTTACTCTCACTAATGTTTTGCATGTTCCAGAGATGTGCAAGAATTTAATTTCTGGCAGTTTACTAAAGGCTGGACTAAAGCTCTCCTTTGATTCTGATAGATTAGTTCTTACTCGCAATGGGGAATTTGTGGGGAAGGGCTTTTGTAATGGAGGGCTTTTTACTCTTGATGTTAAAGTTAACACTATGAATAAGAATGCTAGTACTTCTTCTGCTTATATTGCTGAGTCTATTGATTTATGGCATGCTAGATTAGGTCACGTTAACATTGATTCGGTTAAAAGGCTTAAACACTTAAATTTGATTCCACGTTTTTCTAACACTGATTTTTCGAAATGTCAAATTTGTGTTGAAGCCAAATTCACAAAGAAGCCATTTAAATCAGTAGATAGACAGACCGAAGTACTAGAACTTGTTCATAGTGACTTGGGTGATTTTAATAATCACGAGAGCAGAGGGGGGTAAGAAGTATTGATGATTGTTTACGTTTTTACATGGTTTATCTTCTCAGGTCTAAGGACGAAGCTAAGGAAATGTTCCTTAAATATAAAGCTGAGGTAGAAAACCAATTTAACAAGAAGATTAAGAGAGTTAGGAGTGACAGGGATGGTGAGTACAGCCCTGACACTCTTAAGGCATTTTGTGAGCAACTCGACATTGTACATGAGACGACAGCTCCCTACCCAAACAGAACGGTATAGCTGAAAGGAAAAATAGAACTTCAAAGAATATGATGAGTTCTATGCTTATTAGTTCTAGGCTTCCTAACAATATGTGGGGAGAGGCTATTCTTTCTGCTTGTCATGTTTCTAACAGGGTTCCTCATAAGAAGCTTGACAAGACTCCATACGAGATATGGAAAGGTCGAGTGCCGAACCTGAAATACTTGAAAGTGTGGGGGTGCCTAGCAAAATTAGGCATACCTAGTTTCAAGAGGGACAAGATTGGTCCTAAAACGATTGATTCTATTTTTGTTGGTTATTCTTATCAAAGTGCAGCTTATCGTTTCCTTGTTAAAGGTACTAACAACTCTTATGCAGGTGGCCATATCATTGAGGCAAGAGATGCATAATTCTTTGAGAACATTTTACCTTGGAAAATATCTCCCCCTTATGATAGTGAATTACCTGCTAGTAGTTCTGTTAGTTTACCTATTGCTAATTCTCCTATTACTAATGATAATTCTGTTTTAGAGCCGATGAGAAGCAAAGGGCACGAAAGGACAACAGGTTTGGTCCTGACTTTATTACTTCCTTTTTATCTGAATCTTCTTTAATTGACGATGATTTTGTGCATATCTTTGTTTTGAAAGATGATCCAAGAACTTATGATGAGGCAATGAGGTTAGTTGATGCTGTTTTTTGGAAAGAAGCAATTGATAGTGAGTTGCAATCAATTCTCAATAATAACACTTGGGAGTTGGTTGAACTTCCTAGAGGTTGTAAGCCCATTACTTGTAAATGGATTTTAAGGAACAAATTGAAAGCCGATGGATCCATAGACAAGTATAAGGCAAGGATAGTAGTGAGGGGTTTTACTCAAAAGTTTGGAATTGATTATTTTGATACTTACTCCCCTGTCACTAAAATTGCAACCATCAGGACTTTAATTGCTCTTGCTTGCATTTTTTTATCTTGTTGTTCATCAAATAGATGTCAAAACTGCTTTTGTGAATGGTGACTTGGATGAGGAAATTTACATGGTCCAACCTGAAGGGTTCGTTGTTCCGGGCCAAGAGAACAAGGTTTGTAAATTAGTCAAGTCATTGTATGGGCTTAAGAAAGCTCCAAAGCAATGGCATGAGAAATTCGATAAGACTATGACTGGTAATGGTTTTCATGTTAATGAAGGTGATTCTTGTGTTTATTCTAAGCATGATAGTCTTGGTTGTGTGATTATTTGTCTTTATGTGGATGATATGTTAATCTTTGGAACTGACCTGGATCGAGTAAATGAAACAAAACGGATTTTGAGTTCGAATTTTGAAATGAAAGACATGGGTGAGGCAGATGTGATTTTGGGAGTAAAAATCAAAAGGACTCCAAATGGCATATGTCTTAATCAGTCACACTACGTTGAAAAACTTCTTAAAAAGTTTGACTCCTTTAATGTCGATCAAGTTAAGACTCCATATGACCCGAGCTTCCACCTAAAGAAAAATAATGGTGATCCAGTTGATCAATCAGAATATGCTAGAATTATTGGTAGTGTTATGTTTCTTATGAACTACACTAGACCTGACATTGCTTATTCTGTTAGTAGGTTGAGCAGGTACACTCATAACCCAAGCAGTGATCATTGGGTTGCTCTAAGGAGGTTGCTTAGGTACCTTAAGGGTACTATGGATTGGGGTTTGCATTACTCCAATTTTCCAGGAGTTTTGGAGGGTTTTTTTGATGCCAACTGGGTATCCGATAATGATAAAGTTAACTCCACCAGTGGCTATATCTTCACCCTTGGGGGTGGAGCCGTATCCTGGAAATCTTGTAAGCAATCTTGTACTGCTATGTCTACTATGGAATCTAAGTTTATTACTCTTGAATTGGCAGGTCATGAGGCAGAATGGTTGAGAAACATGCTTGTTGATATTCCACAGTGGGGGAAGCCAGCTCCTTCAGTTGTATTTCATTGTGATTCACAAGCTGCGATTGCTGTTGCACACAACCATGCCTATAATGGGAAGAAGAGACACATTCGTCTGAGGCATAAGGCTGTCAGAATTCTGTTGTCTGAAGGGGTGATATCACTGGACTATGTTAAGTCCGAAAAGAACATTGCAGATCCGTTAACTAAAGGCCTATGTAGAAAACTAGTTTTGGAAACATCAGAAGAGATGGGGCTAAAGACCGTTGTATGAATTGTGAAATAGTGAACTCCTACTCACTATGAGTTCAAAGGGGAACATTATATAATAATTCGAAAGCACAATTTTTATTTTTTTTCCATCTCTAGATGTTTGTTTTGTGCTTAGCTACAAATGAGAAAGAGGTTGAGCATATGGCTCTTAATGAACCCATATCCATATTTTGGTGGTGTGTTGTAGCTCACACTTGATGGGATTCACCTACTTAGGTGTGGAAGTGTGGCCGCTTCCTATGAGTATTTCATGGGTTTATTCTCTAGAGCACCTATTAGCATCCAGGCTTGGACGTATGGCCAGTAATGCGTCACCTTTATTCGCGGAATTTCAAAATATTATTCATGTTCAATTGTGTGGCTCAAAGTGATGGGTCCCTAACTCCCTATTGAGTTCAAGATGAAGGTCACTTGGTAGGTGAGGGATCATAGCTTGATGTCCACTATGTGTTAATTCAAGTCGCGAGACATTGACACTTATGCAATTGTTTTGTTTTGCCCAGAATTATTTCTTCTTCCTTTCTTTTTCATATCTTCGAACCTGTGGGGGATTGTTGGAAGTTCTTGATATAAAAAATAAGAGTGAAGAAAAGAAAACAAGAGAAAGTGAGAGTCACAAATGAAAAGGGAAAAATCACACATTGGTGGAGGGAAAGGTTTTCTCCTTATTTTTATATTGTACTATGTTAGTACTTCTTAGTTGAGTGACTTGGAGGTGGGTGTTGTACCACACACACGCGCGCGTGCGCCAAGCCGGGTCGAGCTCAGGCCTCGGGACTTGGGACTTGGGGAATGCGATGCGCGGGCGTGGGTCCTTTTATTTTTGGAGGAATTTTATTTGACAGAATATTCCTTATTTATTCTAGCCGTTTTTTACTGTTGGGATCCCTTGATTACAGCTAAACCGTTACACTTATTGATTGTGTTTTTTGACTGACCAGATGAATCTGGACATTTTCTTGGTTGCGTTCTGTCTCTGATTGTGGACAGTAACGGTCAGTCGTTTTGCTTGATTTTTGGCCTTAATCATATGGTCGTTTCTTCCTTTTTTCTTGCTGGTCGTTGCTGGCCATCTTCCTCCTTGCTGCCTATATAAACCCAGTCCCTCATCAGCAAAAGACACAGAAAAACATCATTCCTCTCTCTTCTCTCTTAAAAATAACTAAACACTGTTCTGTTATTTCTGGGCAAGTATTCTGAATTCCAGTCCGGTTTGTGAGTTCACATAAACTTCGGCGCCGTGCTTATCCTGGAGGACGGCCGCTTCTTGTCTACTGCACCGGGAGGTAGCGCGGAATCGTCTTTTAGGTCAGTGGTTTACCACGACACGGCTACTGTTTTCTGGTTCACGCTTCAAGAGATAAGTTTACTGTTTTATTGCTTTTAGTATCATATCAGTTAACAGGTATGTGGGGAACCAACCTTGTGACAAGTTCAAGATCCACTATCTACATGCTTAGGATCATGGAGATTTCCTTACCTCCCCATCTACGTCCATTATTCAATTATTAAGAAGCGTAGGAATACTTATTAACTTATATGTCTATGCAGTCGAGATAAATATGACCAGCATTTATAAGCGATTCCAAAAAAAGTGTACGTAACAACAATTGTGTAACAAAATATATGAGTTCCTTTTTTTTTTTTTTTTTTTTTTGAAAGAAAATATACGAGTTCCTTATTGCTATTTGTTTTATTTTACGCCTTCTATAGACATAACAAATTAACAATTGATAAACATAAAACACCCTAAGTTCATCTTTTTGCCAGAAGATCTTCTCCTGTTAAAAAAGAGTGAATCAGAGCAAGTGCTTCACTAGGCTTATTCAGAGGTACCAGATGACCTGCCCCTCGAACAGTCACCAACGTTAAACCTTCGTACTCCACTAATCTTCCTCCTACCTGAATTTACAATTATAGTTGACATACCAGCGTTAGTTCTTATACTGTTGCAGACTTGCTGGCATCGTTACTAATATACTCCCTCTATCCAATACGGAGTACTATATATAGAGCTAGCATGTTTTGAGAAAAATTAACCGTCAAAGCTTAATCTTGAAACACGAGAGTCCTTTTTTTATGTACTTGTGTATAGATTATTGAGTGTACCTTTACTTCTAGAGAGCCGAGAAAAGATTTGTTTACCTGATGTTGATGGTACCAGGAACGCCAAGGTGTCTTTATTGGCAACCCAAGTGACTCAACCCAGTACCTAGTTCCAATCACCGGGACTCTACCATCCACATCTCCACTGTTCCAAGTAACACGTCAATTAGTACAGAGCACAAGGCCATTCCTTTAATTGTTTACATGAAGCTTTAATTTTCACTTATACCCCTCATCAGCTTCTCCGTTTCTAAACTTACATGGATGATAATTAAAATTATATTTCAAACTAGTGAGTTTTGAACATTTTCGCATTTGGCATTATTCAAGGAAAAAGACTGATGAATATGCATTATAGATTACTTTATCTTCCTTAAAAAAAAAAGATTACTTTACCTTAGGACAGTATGTGGTGCATAAGCCACAGATTTTACAAAAAGTAAAGTAAAGATAGGGGGGAAAAAAAAAATCATGTGCAAATTGCCTATAGACTACAGAATCATAGTCAAATTGAGCCATCTTGTTTTGTTTTCATCTGGTTAGATTTTATTCCTAGCTACCTTTACCGAATGATAAACAGCCAGCTGCATTATTTTACCCCCAACCATTCTTGAAAGTTTTCAAGATTTGGTGATTACAAACAGACAACAGTACAACAGACAACCGTACGTGTTCTACAGCATATTAGCATCTATCCATATCCTAGAAGTAATGATTCATTAGCATAAGGTTAAACTTCAGAGATGTCAATATCGTAAAACATAAAACATCCTTAGCTGTAGACCTCCAATAAAATTTTCCTTAATTACTACGGGGTAACATTTTCTAAAACAATTAAGAAAAGTAAATTTTAATTTATTAATAAGCCTCGGTTTTTAGCTCAAATTACAGTTCTGACCTGCTCCTGTGACTGAGAGTCTGAGTACATCGACAACTCTCCAAATTCACCAGTTATGCCTAGATATAGTTAAGAATATGAAACTTCTAATTTCTGTGATCTACAAGGTGGTGGATGATGAAGCAGAACTTTTTAAAAACTACATTCATGACAAGTAACAAGAAAAACAAAATTAACTTTATGCCATCAATCAGAGATATACCTGTAAACCCAGATCTTGAGACCACCTTGTATCAGCTTCTTGTAGATCGGCAGGACAGATTGAACTGTAGCATTGTATGTATTCAGAATGTTGTCACTGAAAAAGGAAAACCGAGGTGGTAAATATCAACTCAAATAGTATATGCCGAGCATCATATCTTATAGAAAAGGCTGGAAGTAGCTAACTTCTTGGGCATCACTGTAAATTTTAAATTCTTGAATTTAACCATTTCAACTGTATAAACAAGTTGTATGATTTGATTAAGTTATAAACTCAAACTATGAAGATTGACTATAGAAATCTGGAAAATGGCTTTAATTCTGCAATCTAGTTTATGGTTTTCCTAAGTAATCAAAACTCACAGCTCACAGCGACAACAACAATTAGTTAGCTTACTTGCAAACATTCCACTTGACACTAGTATTTGAAGTCCCTCTATTAACATTTGCACGAAGCGATGCTTGTACATCTGCCCTGTTGAAGTATGTTTCTGCATAATTTGAATAGCAAGGGTCATACCCCCCTGAATATATTCTTGGCCTCCTCAATCCGTAATTTTCCTCCTGTAAAAAATGTACCCACAAACTATTCATGTAGACATATAGTGTAGATGTTATCCAAATAAAGGCTTTGTATCTTCACCTTAGGAAAAAAAAAAAGGTTTTGGGAAAAATAACTTCAGAGGGCTAAAAAGCTTCATAATATGCACAGGGAAAGATAATTTTTGCACCATGATAAAGAAAATCCTGCTTATTGCTTAAATAATGATGCAATCGAATTCTATTCATAGTGATAAAAGGAAAACAAAAGGTGATAGACTTACCTTATTAGTATAATAAGCTTGTGATGAAGTGCTGTTCGAAAGACAAATTGGAGCATATATGTTGTAAAAGTCGATTTCTTTGTATTTTCCATAAACCAAATTCATGGCAGTCACACATTCCTTCGGCCAATATAAGGTCTTGAAATCACACACTTCTTTAGTCTTATTATACATATCATCAGTTATTACAGTGTGACTCCAAGCATATTCTAACAGACCCTTTGAGTCATAAAAATCATCAGTTTCAGGGTTCCCTACCTGCATAGAAACTTAATTTAAAGCAATATTAAGTTTTTGTGGATCGACGTTTTTAAAAATGTCAATGTACATGGCATTATGGCAGTGTACATACCAGGAAACCTTTGAGATTAATCTTCAGGTACTTAGTCTGATCCTTATTCCTGTCAAAGATAAGCTCTGCTAGTTGAGGGACATAGTGACCTATAAAGGGGAAATTCATTAGATGAGATAAACTGGTAAAGTTTGGAGTTGCTAATAATTGTCCGTATACTGCAGCAAATAACTTGAGGACATTATATGAATTACCTGCATAACTTTCTCCGGCTAGGAAGAAATCTCGGTTCTTGAACTGTGGGTATTTTCCCAACCAATTTACCAAGAAAATGTATGCATCCTCAGCTTCATGCAAAACAATAAAAATAAGTGATCTAAGGCAATGACAGCTTGATAAGTTCATAAAAGGTTGCAGCAAAGATGAGTAGAATCGATCCATGTAGGAGAGCTTACCTACAAATTTATCATCCAATTTGGTGAGATCAGAGGATGTGTTGGTATAAGAGAACCCTACTCCGACAGGAGACTCCACGAAGAGCAAATTTGCTTCTACAAAGATAGCATGATACAAAAAAGGAAAGTGGACAAAAAAAGTCTTAGATGAAACCATCTTGCACAAATTCAGCAACAGAAAAAAAAAAAAAAAAAAAAAAGTTGGCCTGAAAATTAACCAGGCACCCCTAAAGTCAACCTGCTAGTCTCACTATAAGTTATTGTGATTCTGCCCATAATCGATTTACTAATTACTAAGAGAAATATATGGTAGTGAACATGAGCTGATAATAACCTGTAATCCAAGAAAAGTTATTGAAGAGCAAACCAACACCATTTTCATCAACTTTAAGAGGACCTAATTCCACAAGAGCGCCATATCCTACTGATGAGCAACCAGGTCCTACATAATGGAAAAAAACTTTCAAGCACTGAAGCGAAAAAGATAATAGCGTACAAACTTAAATGAACACGTTAATATACATACCTCCATTGAGCCAGAGTAGGAGAGGTTTATCAGAGAGCTGGGAAAGAGCTTCAAAGAACCAGTAAAAAAGGGCCCTGCCATTATTTTGGTTGACAGTGATGTAACCTGAGTACTGTGATATTGGTGGGTTTGATGGTTGACCTGGTAAATTTAGTATCTTGCTGTCATCTTCTTCAGACACAGCAAATGTTTCTGACGCTTTAATGAGTGTAATATAGAATACAAGTAAGATGAGAAAAGAAAAAATTTTAGTTATGCTGCTCATCATAGGATCAAGATAACACCAAAAGCTACTTCTGGAGCCTACTTTCAGATATCAGTCTGTCTAATTGTGCCTGAGTATATATAGAGCTGATGTAACACTTTTTTGCACAGCAATCAATAACTATTCACAGAGGATGATCGTTGGCGCACCTCATCCATTCTATTATGGAGATCACAGGTCCACCTTGCTAAAAGTAAAGGTCAAAAGTATAGCAAGTTTTCAAGTATCTTGAACTTTTTACCAATTTTGACGAGTCCATTATGCTCCAGATTGAACTTTCCACAATATTACAGTAAAATTACAAGTTCTTTTGTAATACATTTCTTTCGGCTGGGGAGTAAAAGTGATACAGTGTGTTAGGCGCAGTGTGTGAAGAGCATGCTCACCAACATGGTTACAGATCGTGCATGCGCCAAACTAGAAGCACCATTATAAGTACTCCTAGATGCATAAAATAATTAACAAGTGGCAGAATAAGCAATTTAATTGCATATCTTACCCATTATCCCAAATATTAATGAAGCACATTATCCCACTACCTCTTTGGCCAATTATCTTGCTAGTAAATTGATGATATGCCAAAAGCTAAATGTCCAAAGTTAGGTAAACAAGTGTTCAATACCACATTTGTTAGAACATGCGGAACAAGCGCACGAGAAAACTATGGTAAACCACTTTTACTGAAGTGGGCATCATATGTTCAAAGACCAATATCACGAGATCAGTATTCTAGCAAAGTGCAAAGATATGGAGTTATCTGCCTCACTCATAAATAGACAGATAGAAGGGAATGAATGAAATGATTCACCATATTTCACTTCCATGGCAAGGCCACTCTTAATATGTCTTCTTTTGGGGATTTCTTCTCTTCTGCTCTAATTTATCTTTTGGGGATTTCTGGGGTTGTGAGAAGAGGGACAAATGGATTATAGTGGACTTGAATCCGAAATTTCATGACCAATATTGTAACATGTATACATTAGATTAATAGATATTAATGTACATTAAAAAAATTTGTGTACATTAGAAATATCTGAATACAAATTTCAGGAAACAACAGATCCAAATCAATATGAATTTGGATATTATTGAAATGGACATACAAATTTTTAAAATTGGAAGATTTACAAATTTGCATATCAATATGCACTTGATTTACACTGGCAGAGTGGCAGAGCTTTCGATCAAATAATATACACATCAGATAGAATCTCTGAGCATCACCTTGCTGTTTCAAGAAATAGGCCTTCTGCGGCAAGTAAAATTCGCTTCAGATTATTATCCATGATTAGGAAACACGATATATATCAATGCTTAATGTAATGAGGGATATGGCAGTCAGCTACTCTGGTCTGAGCACATATATATATCCAAACCAATACATAAGAATTGAAGGGATAAACAATGGCATGAGATAATTCCAAACCAATATATCCATCCACATGAAAAATTGAAGAGCACATACTACACCTAAAACCAGGAAAGAATTTGTACCTATCATTTTTCATGATTATAAGAAATTCTTGGTCACACTCATTCAACGTAACTTTTGTGATACTATCAACTTAATCTATCAAAACTTGATACAATATGACACAAAGTTGAGGATGTTAAGTAGTTCGTGCAAACATGAAGTAAAAGTTCGACCAAGTAATACATATAAAAAGTGGAAGGTAAGCAATGCAACTAGTAAGGTAGCTTGGAAATTTTCAGCAGATAACTCAGCAAGGGCTAGGATCAATGCACATCACCCCCAATCTTTTAAAACCGCTAATTATCGAATGTTGAATTTGGCAAATTAAAATCCTCTATGGCACAGGTCAAACTTGGTTAAAACTCTTAACAGTGTATCAGGTCAGGGAGCCATTTGTCCCTACTTCATATCTAATCTGGAATTTGGTAATTTCCAAAAAAGAACCCTAGAGACTTCATATATTATACCTCGTCTCAACTTATTTTTAGCTGTAACATGAACTTATAGGTCCTTAACTGAGCTAATATGAATTAATAAGAAAAATACATAATTTTCAAGGCGAAATGAACAGGGCTGAGGTATGGATAAAAATAATATAATATATGCAAACAAATAGTAATGCTTGTTTATGATCTAGTTCTAATTTGTCACATACTACCAACCATAATTTTTCAGTAAACCTCAAACTACTGTTATAAGAATTCTCCATAAATTTCATGGAAAAAAAAAAAAAAAAAAAAAAGAAGAGAAAATAACAGGTCAGAAAAACAGAAGGGAGCTCTAGTATCATATACTTCAGAAGGCAATCAGCCTATCTTTGATAAAATTATATACTTCATATTTACTTTACCTTTATTATCAGAAGAATGCTCCTTGGCAGAAAACTTTGATAATGATTCTTATACCAGCAACTTCCCATCAGGCAGTTGAACCCAGAGGCAATAAGGCCAATTCAACATCATCATCTTCAAGTTCAGATTTCTTTCTGAGTTTGAGAGGTCGACAAATAAATCTGAGGAAGCGACTTAGTGGATCCTGTAGTCCTTCCATATCATAGTGTCCAAAACGCCAATCTCGATCAGCATAAGGGCGCCATACGGGTTCGTCAAGACCCCCTTTTAGAGATGAAAATTAGGAAATTAATTAGCAATTGGGATGTTATCCAACTAAGAAACACAAAGAGTTGCAGCTATTTTATTGTGACATGCTCCTACTATCTTAACTAAACCAGGTCCTCACTTAGAAGAACAATAATCAATCTAGACAGCATTCTTACCAATTTCAAATTTTATATCTAAAAGATAAGAGTTACACGAGAGCAAAAATTCAGTCTAGGTTAGGAACAAGAACATGATCGTGCCATAGGTTACCTGCATACATTAAACCATGTTTGTCCATAGCACGATAGAATGGCCTAGTCTTTTTTCCTTTGGCAGCTCTACGAAGTTCCCTCCATGCTTGCTCCCTGTCTTGATGTGAGACTATACCCGTTGTTGCCACCTGAAATATACATGAGCATTGAAGGAAACCTCAGAACTGTATATGGCAGCACAGCTGCTCATGTCAAGCTAAATTTGGAAAGGAAAAAAGAAAAAAGAAAAAAGAAACATTTTACTTTGGAAAATAAATGGTAGGAAGGACGTGGGACTCGGGCTAGATTATTGGCACGATCAACCGCTACAAGTCCAAATTTAGGTCCATATCCATCTGCCCACTCCCAGTTGTCTGAAATTGTCCAGAAGAGATAACCGATAATAGGGATACCCTGCATAACAAAAGTGAAGATATGTGAGATTGAGAATTGGTCAAAATGGTAAAGAGCTGAATATACTCAAACGGAAATATACAGGGAAGAGTCACTATAAGCACCATAATCATGGCACCATAAATGGCAAGTAAATGCTCCAGTATATATGGCCTTCTGATGATGTCAGTCTCGTCTGAGACCCCGTTTTCAGTAATAATAAATGGTATGTTTAAATGCTTGTATCTCTCATGGAACTGAAGAAGCATACGGAACAAGCCATCAGGATAGACTCCTCGTCCAGACTCACTATATTCATCCGTCTCTACTAGCTTTAATCCAGCACCACAGACAACTTCCTGACAGCAAGCACAGTAGATACATGGAGATTAATTTGATCCTTTTGTAAGAAAATCTTTCAGATACAATTTACCAGGGTATACAACAATCTGCCCGTAATAGTTTAACCCAATATAGTCCATCTTCTCAGATATACTGTCCATAAAGGGGTAAAGAGTCATGGAGTTGGCGAGTGTGACAGCAGCAACATCAAAGAGCCCATAGGGTCGCATAAATGAGACATGATGAGCAACGCCAACAAGTGGCTTTGATAATTTGCTGCAACAATACTTTTATAGTCAATAAATACTGAAAATTGCCTATTCAAAAATATATATATATATACTGAGAATTGCTTCAAGAAGCTTGCTCCAATTGAAGAAACTTTCAGTATCTTCATAAGCAGGATAACTTGTATAGACAACAGGATATGACTTTTAAACCACTACAAGACACAATATCTGAATAAGGAAAATTTTCACAAAACACATTATGTGGCATATTTAGTCAGTGTTTATGAGAGCACTTGTTAGCAAATGATCTTTGGCTTGATTTTCTCAGTTGCACTCAGAAATCTGCAGAAATATAACCTGTTTTCATGGATGTAATCATATGCTTTTGAGTGTGCAGTGGCAATCCAGTCCATGGTTTGATTAAACACACCAGTCGGCAGAGCAGAAGTTGCCACTTCCAACATGTCAGGATTACCGCCAGGCCAAGCACCAGCACAGTATGTCAGCATACAAAAGACATGAGGCTCATTAAATGTAACCCAGTAGTCTACCACATCTAACACACTATCAACAACAAGCCTGCAAAAACAAAGAATAGACCAAGTTATACTAAAAGAAAGTCATAGTTGGGAAACTGGGGATAGTACGATACAAATGAAAATCTAGCATGACAGCTCCCACAGGAGGAGTACGAATATCAATAAACAAATGATGGATGAAGTTTACCTTGAATGCACATAAATTCGATTATTTTGTGGAAGCATTACAATAAACATTATTTTATGGAAACAAAAGCCTAATAAACTATCAAATGTTTAGATAGTACAGATTAAAAATCAACCCACTGCAATAACAATTAAAAGTCTACACTGCCTTAACCCATAAATAAGCTAAATAAGTGATTCTAACACACAACAAATCACTAATTAAAGCAATTCCTAAGAAGATTTGTGCATTCCATTCTAACCACAGAAGTCACAAAATTGACACAGAAGCAGGCCACATATGTTTTCCTTTGCCCTTCCAAATCCAAAAAGAAAACTTGCAGCAGATCCGAATCACTAAGAGGGAAGCCCCATCACTTACCAAACATAAGAAGAAAAAAACCTCCTTCAAATTTGACTTGCCAAGATGCCAATATGTGAGCAGAACTCACTATTGAGTATTGACATGCAACAACATACAGATTCCCAAAATTAGCCAACCTTGTTCTTTGGACCTATCATTTGGGTGTGATTCTACCAAACACCAAGATTCACATAAAAGTTCTCACCTTAAGAAGAAATATAGCCTTCCAAACAAAGATGACAATAAAGAATACACATTACCTCAGTGG